AAGGATGTGAATTGTCGAATGCGATGATAGGACAAAGTAGATTTGGTATGACTTTTCCATAGCGGTCGTGGCAAACGGTTAAGGGGGACAACTTAGGATTTCGCCAACAACGTTTCGATAATGACCGTAAATTGGTGGGCGAATCAGCAGAACTAGATGAAAACTCGATGAATAATAGCGGTCACGGAGAAACCAGAGAACAACTACTAATATATGAACAGCTCTGTATAATAACAAGTTTGGTATGCATCAGTCATATAACATTGAAAATGTAGTGATGTCATATTTGATATTTTTGGTTGATTATATGATATATATACCATTGAAAATGTAGCGATGTCAGATTTGATATTTTCAGTTGATTACATAATATGTATACTATGCATTCTTGTTGTTTGAGTTGGTTGAGACGATGAATTCACATAAAGAATACTTTCACATTATATAGATAATAATCATGTATTGCTTCCATAGCATAGTGGTAGTGCGTTCGCTTCGTAAGCGAAAGGTCGTGAGTTCAATCCTCACTGGGAGCATTTTGACAATATCAAATTTTTCGTTTCTAAAAGAAACTCACATGACAATATTCATATTTTTCGTTTATAAAAAGAACTCACATGAAAAGGTATAAGATTCGAATATGATCATCAATGATTCTATTTCTTTTGTAAAGTAATACCAAATATTGGTTCTTTCCAAATCCGAGACTTCACTAAGGTGATCTAACACTTTAATCGTTTGGACTACAATCTTGTTGGCATACAATCCTCACTAGAAGCTATTTGGACAAGATTCATATTTTTTTTACTTATAAAAAGAACTCACATGGAAAAGGTATAAGATTCAAATATGATTATCAATGGTTCCATTTTTATAGTAATGTACCACAAAATATTCATTCTTTCCAAATCTGAGGTTTCACTAAGTTGATCGAATACCTTAACCGCTTAGACTAAAATTTTATTGCCAATGATTATTATAAGTATTCTTTACAAAAACTTCATTTACGTTGATTCAGAATGCCGATGAAGGTGAAGTTTGTAGTAACAATTGTAATAAAATCTAAGTGTTTCCAAATACAAATATACAGTAATATTTTGACATTCATATGAGCTTGTGGATCAGGCACTCTACATGACTATATTCATATTTTTCGTTTATAGAAAGAACTCACATGAAAAGGTATAAGATTCGAACATGATCATCAATGATTCTATTTTTTTTTTAAAGTAATACCAAATATTGGTTCTTTCCAAATCCGAGACTTCACTAAGGTGATCTAACACCTTAATTGTTTGGACTACAATCTTGTTGGCATACAATCCTCACTAGAAGCTATTTAGAAAAGATTCATATTTTTTTCACTTATAAAAAGAACTCACATGGAAAAGGTATAAGATTCAAATATGATTGTCAATGGTTCCATTTTTTAAGTAATGTACCATAAAATATTCATTCTTTCCAAATCTGAGGCTTCACTAAGTTGATCTAATACCTTAACCGCTTGGACAAAAATTTTATTGGCAATGATTATTATAAGTATACATTACAAACACTTCATCTACGTTGATTCATAATGCTGATGAAGGTGAAGTTTGTAGTAACAATTGTGATAACATCTAAGTATTTTCAAATACAAATATACAGTGATATTTTGACATTCATATGAGCTTGTGGATCTGCCACTCTAAATGACTATATTCATATTTTTCATTTATAAAAAGAACTCACATGAGAAGATATAAGATTCGAACATGATCATCAATGATTCTATTTTTTTTTTAAGTAATACCAAATATTGGTTCTTTCCAAATCCGAGACTTCACTAAGGTGATCTAACACCTTAATTATTTGGACTACAATCTTGTTGGCATACAATCCTCACTAGAAGCTATTTAGACAAGATTCATATTTTTTTCACTTATAAAAAGAACTCACATGGAAAAGGTATAAGATTCAAATATGATTATCAATGGTTCCATTTTTTGAGTAATGTACCATAAAATATTCATTCTTTCCAAATCTGAGGCTTCACTAAGTTGATCTAATACCTTAACCGCTTGGACAAAAATTTTATTGGCAATGATTATTATAAGTATACATTACAAACACTTCATCTACGTTGATTCATAATGCTGATGAAGGTGAAGTTTGTAATAACAATTGTGATAACATCTAAGTATTTCCAAATACAAATATACAGTGATATTTTGACATTCATATGAGCTTGTGGATCTGCCACTCTAAATGACTATATTCATATTTTTCATTTATAAAAAGAACTCACATGAAAAGGTATAAGATTCGAACATGATCATCAATGATTCTATTTTTTTGTAAAGTAATACCAAATATTGGTTCTTTCCAAATATGAGACTTCACTAAGGTGATCTAACACCTTAATCGTTTGGACTACAATCTTGTTGGCATACAATCCTCATTAGAAGCTATTTGGACAAGATTCATATTTTTTCACTTATATAAAGAACTCACTTGGAAAGGTTTAAGATTCAAATATGTCCCATTTTTAGAGTAATATGTTATAACAAATATTAACTTTCCATATACGAGACTTGACTGAATCCAACTTCTTAACTGCTTGGACTATAATTTTGTTGATAATGCTTTTAATAAATATTCATAAGGGGTACTTCCTCTAGTTTGGTTTAGAACACTAATAAAAGTAAAATTAGTAGTAACAATGGTGATAACATCACATGCATCGAGTCTCAATCCAAACTCTACATTAATGACCATTTGGCATGCATAAGTACTATGTGAATCCACTGTATTCCACATAGGAGCTATCATTTTTCTTTTTACATAAATCTGCAATAGGCTTTATTAAATTTTGAGTTTGTTCAGTTTTTAATTCTCTATTTTCAGAACAGGATCGGAGGTTGAACCGGAAAAGTTATTGGTTTAGGGTTTAGTGGTTAACCGTTACAAAATCGTTGATACAATTGCAAATTCATATCATCACCAAAATATCTAATAAATCATTCAAATCAAATCATATTTAGCAATTGAAATTAAAAACTACGGTGCCAGTCGGTAGTGAACAACATAAAGTTGACAACAAGGTTGAAATGAGAAGAGGAAGCATATATAAAATTAATAAGTATGGTTTGATGGTCTTAGTTTATATTAAAGTTTTTTTTTTTGTTTTGTTAAAATAGTGAACCAATAGACTAGTTAAACTGTGGTGGTTCATCTGGTTTTATGTTGCAGACCGCTATCATAACTGGTCTGACGATTCTACTGGTGCGGCCATTGATGCGATTCGGTTCTTCTAACAATTTTTATAGTGATAATCAGCTTTGCAGTTCTTTGTACTTCAATCAAGATCGGCTTTTTCAGCAAATATTCGTCTTTCATGCTTTGAGCAGTAGAAAAACTATTAAAGGAAATAGTATGTTTTCATAATCGGACCGGAGGGTGAACTGGAAAAGTTAGTGGTTTAAGGGTTCACCGGTTAACCGTTACAAAACCGTTGGTGAACCGTTGATAGAACCGTTAATGATATATAACATATAAGACTTGTATATTACACTAATTTAAGAATGAAATTATCATTGACCATAAACAAGTTCAAATTCATATCATCACGAAAATATCTAATAAATCATTACAACCATCTCACAAAAGAAACCACATTTTATAATTCAAATTAAAAATTACGGTTCTTGTTGGTAGTGAACCAATGGACCAGCTAAACCGTGTCGGTTCATCTGATTTTATGTTGAACCGTGAAAAACCGTTTGGTCCATCAATAACCGTTCAAACAATGAACCGGACCGCTATCGTAACTGGTTTGACGATTCCACTTGCCTGGCCGTTGATCCAGTTCGGTTCTTATACAAGTATTATATAACAATAATACATATGATGATTATTTCCTTCCAAATTTGCAACGAGAATAATGTAGGACTACTCATTTCGTCTCGTACTTAATTAAAAGTCACTAGCACTACAACTATTGTTCGTTGAGCTGTCTGACTAAAGGTCCCTAAACATATTGTACCCTTCAACTTCACTGTCGGAGTTCAAAACTAGCTAGTTAATTACTGAAAGTGCAGGAGTATTTTACCAGATATTGCTAAATAAACCAACTGCTAGAACGTGAACATAATCTATATAAAGTTATAAACCACTTCTACTATGCTTTATAGTATTAGTAGTTTAAAGCATGGTCCATGAAAACGTACCGTACCGACGGTTCTACCACGAAATACTAGTATTAGAGGCTAAACCGGTATGTGGTATTTAACGGTACTACGGTTGAACTACGATTAAACCACGATTTTACCATAAAATACTCCACCGCTGACTTTCCCGATACGGTCTCCGGTACGATTTTATGGACCATGGTTTAAAGTATAATTTGAAGTTGTACTATAATGTATAAGGAAATTTGACCTTTATATTGTGGTACAACTTCAAATTGTATCATAACATAAAGGAAAAAATTTAGTTTGTACAATAAACGTATTTTACAAAAGAGTAAAGTTGTACCATAACGTTAAAAGTACAACTTCAAGTTGCACCATAAAGGCAAAAACTAAAGCAACAATACCTTAAAACATTGCAAAATTCCCCATCCGTAAAAGCTATATAGACATACATAATTTTATTTTGCAACCAAACAAATACATCATAAATCGGAATAAACCTGCTATAAACAACTTTAATAATTGCTTTGATTTTTTTTTTGTTTTGTTTTGTTTTTCATCGTTCCAAGAATTTCCACCAACATAACTAATGAACAAATAAATAACGCCATGCACAAATACACTGTAAAAAAAAAGGGAAAAAAAAAAGAAATTTACATATCAATGAGAAACCCTATCTCATAAATCATAATCTCACCCCACCCCCAAAAAGATACTAATGAATCACAAAATAAAACAGAAACCCAAATGGCCCCGAGAAAGAAACAAAGAATCTAACACATGTTAATGAATGAAAAAGGCTTTCAAATATATATATAATTAAGGAACCGGAGAATATATAGAAATGAATTCACAGGTCCACTTATTAAAAAACGCTGTTAATTTAATTTAATAATCATAGCAGCAATAATAGTAGTACTAGTAGTGAGTGATCAGCACACCAGTTATATGATCAGCCGTCCGATCTTCGTTTCTCCACTTCCCCATGATCCGTTATCCCGGACGACATGTAACTGAGCACCAGCGAGTTCTCATCCGGCGGCGGCGGCGGCGTCGTGGCCTGAAGGTTGTTCCTGCAGGTGGCGCAGGTGAAGTGGAGGATCATCATCTGGTTGACGGCGTGTTGTTTGAGAGCGTGGGCCTTGTCCAGCTCGGCCTGGGCCCGCTGGCGTATCCTCTTGGCGTTGGCGAACTCTTCATCCGCCAGCTGGATCTGCCGCTTCGCCTCTCTCCTCACCTCCTCCGCGTACGCCTTCTCCGCCATCGCCACCCTAATCTCCTCCTTGCCCGCATTGTGGATCCGGTTTGATTCGGAGGACGACCCAACCGACAGCTGGAGGTCGAGATTGTGGAAGGAGTGGGAAGTTGGAGTAGCCGTTGTCGTACTGCTCATCAACATGAGCCCCCTGCCGCTGCTACCACGGTGGTCGGATGTGGACGGTGCCGATGGAGGCGGCGGAGGAGGGTGTTGCTGGCTGAGGTGATGTTGTTGTTGTTGATGTTGTGATGGACGTGTTGGGCCGATCATGGGCCAGGGCGCGGCGGTTTCGCTGGAGGGGCTGGGGCTTGATGCTGTCCGAGACAGGCAGGCAGTTTGCTGTTGTTGATTGTGGTGGTGGTGCAAGTTGGGCGGAGAATGCGTCTGCCGGCCCATGCTGCAAGCGTCCTGGTGCTCTATGAAAGTCTCCACCCTGCGCGTTTCACTCACAGGAGTTTAGCAAAAGAAGAATGCGTTTTCCGGTTTGGCCGAATCTATGAAACAGTTGTCGATAAAGGAGGTAGTATGCAGCGAAATGTCAGCTGCCGCCATATATATATATATATGGATATGGTTAGAAAGAAGGGAGCCTTCTATCTAGCTAGCTAGCTATAGGATGTATTATAGGGCAAAGGACAGTAGGATCATGTGCAAGCAACAGATAAATACAACGGAATGTGTATTACTATACTAGATGGTATGACGACAGTATGTGTAAGAATGTTTGTAACCCGGTTGGTGTCGTTATTGAAGGAGAGTGAGGGGGATGGGAGTGAAAAACAATAGGGTAAGCAATTAAGATGAAGGAGAGATGAGCTCAACCCATTTTAAAAAAAGGGGAAAAGAAAAACGGAACAGTGGATTGATATGAATAATAATGATTGTTTATTGGCATGGCAGGGGAGAATAAAAACCATGCTATATGTTTTGCTGATCACACAGGCACAGCACAGCACAGCACAGCTGCTACTCAAAAGCTTATAGCTTTAATGCTCTTTTCAGAAGCGGCGAAAGGCATGCAAGAATGAAAACAAGAGCAGTAAGATAGTGTTTGCATAGATCCTCCCCCGCCCCCATTCCCCCACGAACAGGAATACCGTCGTCCCTGAACAAACTTATTTTGAAAACAAAATCACAGAAAAACAGTTTGAAATCAGGTATAGTTGTTGAACTCCGAGCATCCAGAAAATTTCTGCTCAAAACAAAAATACCCAGAAACGCCTCACTAAAACCCAATGGGTTTGAATTGGAATTACTTAGATATGTTAGGATTCTATACTTAGTGAAGAAGTAAGGGGGAAGAAGAGGTCCGGGGAAGGGGGTACCTGGAGAAGACGCGGCCGCAGTCGCAGGAGTGGCCGCGGGTGCCGCAGGTCTTGAGGTGGGCTTTGTAATCGGACTGGACGGCGTAGCCCTTGTCGCACTTGTCGCACACCCACTGCCTGGTGTTGCTGTGCTTCCTCCTGAAGTGCTTCTTGATCCCCACCAGGTCGCCCAGGGCGTGGCAGGGGTCGTGGTGCAGGCAGCTCGGCTCCGGGCAGACGAACACCCGCTTCCTCATCACCAGGGGCGTCTCCCTCTTGAGCAGCTTCCAGGGGACCTTGTGGCGCCTGCGGTGCATCTGCAGGTTCTGCTCCCGCTGGAAACCTTGCTTGCAGATCTCGCACACGTACCTGTCCGACTCCATCAGCGTCCGCGGTGACAGCGACACCACCTCCGCATCTGGATCTGCCACAAAAAATAAGTATATATAGACACAAATTCATTAATCTAGTAGTAGAGAATTAGGGGATTTTTGTTTTTGATGAATTGAGATTATAGTACGTACCTGGAGTGCCGGCGGGGCGGCGCTTGCGCTTGTTGGTGGCGGTTTCATTTTCTAAGGAGGAGGGAGGGGAAGATGAGGATAAGTTGGGGAACATAGTTTGTTATGGAAATGGAACACTAGTGCTGGGTAACTAACTATGGTACTAGCTAGCAGGAAAAGTAGTGATTCCAATCTTTAGCTTTTTCACTTCTTCTTTTTATGTGATGAACCTAGCTAGAAGATGAAGTCACTGTGCTGTGGGCTTCTTCTAGAGTAATCATGGAATTGGAAACCAAGAGAGAGAGAGAGAGAGAGAGAGAGGGAGAGGGAAATGGAGATCAGGTTTGGGTGTTGAGTGTTGATGCTTCTGGGTCTTGGTCCTTGGCTTTCGGTCGATGAGGTGCAGCTTTTGTTGTGGAAGGAAAGAAAGAGGAGTAGTGGGAAAAAAGGGAAAGAAAGGGGTTTTACTAATTTCTTTTTCTGGGATCAGCTTTTCAATTCAGCAACAGAGCTACCTGTTTTCTTTTTTGGGTGATGGGTTTCTGTGTGTGATCTCATGATATACTGGTTCATCACACAAGGAAGAGAGAGAGAGAGAGAGAGTGAGGGTAAGAGAGAAGGAGAATTGCATTAATGAAAGCAGCTTGGAACCCACAGGAGGGGGGAAATATATGGTGGATGAGAAAGGAAGGAAGAAGAAGAAGAAGAACTTGTCATCATCCCTCTCTATCCCTAACTCACAAACAAACAAACAAAACGCTCTTATAACTATTCACTTTTCTTTCTTTGGTAAACATGAAAGTTAAATGTTAACTTCATCTCCTCGCTTACGTACCTTTTTTTTCCCCTCTCGAATTTATCTGCATCAATAAGTACAAAAGTCTAGAAAACAAAAGAACAAGAACCAAATGATAATACACGTAATGTTTTGTGGGTTTGAAAGGGGGGAAAAAAATTAATATCGAGTCTATATCCGCACAATCTATGTCTTGCCATTGCTCTCGGTAAATTCCTCCTACCTACTCTATATAGTGGAAATTAGGGGTGGCTATAAGGTCCGGTTCAGTCCGGTTTTTTTTAGAATATAAGGACCGAAGATTGGATTGGATACAGTCCGGTCTTGATCCGGTCCGGTCCCAATTCGGTCTTGATTTTATATTGAGATTGTGGGAATTTGAGTGGCCTAAGGCCTAAAAGGGTGAAGAGTTGGTTAAGTTTTGTACAAATGTAAAGGTTTGTGACCGTTTATGCAAATTACCCTTAAGTTTTGGGTGTTGAGCTCTCTTATCCGGTCTTTATCCGGCTTTTTACCTCAAATCTAAGCCCAAAGATTGGATTGGATTGTTTACTATCCGGTCCCGGTCCGATCTCGGTCCGGGTTATACGGTCCAGTTTCCGGTTTTTCATCCGGTCCCGGTCCAAATAGCCAGCCCTAGTGGAAATATTCACTTCAATGATAAAAAAAAATGTTGAAGATATATATGACAAAAGCTATCATTTAGTAGGATGATAGAGTCGTCGTTGGTATTACATATTCGCAAATCGCAAATGCTACTGTAACAAGGTTGCGAAATCGTACTATAAATTGTACATGAAGAAAAAAGCAATAAAATATTTTATGTTGAAATCATGGTTCAATAATTATTTCTCCAAAAACTACCTACCACTTTAAACTCTAATACAAGATATTCTCAGTCGACTGTCAATACAGTACGATTTTGTACGCAACAAAATTTAAGTAGTCATCACTATTTAAAAATAATCTTTAATGCAACAAATGATATCTACCTTGACATAATTTCTACCAAAAACCCTAAATACAATGAGCGATAATAATTTTTCACATTATCCATATGGCCCATGAGGCATGAGTGGTGGCAATCAAATTGAGCATAATTCAAACAACTCTAAAGAAAACGAAGAATGGTGATTTCATTCCCCCCCGCACCCACCAATCAAATAATGCATTGACAAGAGGAGTGGTTTATTTTAAACAAAATTGTTAATTGGAGATTATGGCGCCATCTGGGGGAAAAAATTATGCATAAAATGATGAGATTAAAAGTTCATACTATCAGAAAATAATACATTTCTAATTAAGTATACCAATAAATTCCAAGAATTAATTTGTTTTGTAGGGTTGATTAGTCTCTCTAAAATGATTACGAAAAGTCTCAATTGTATTAATGATGGAAAAAAAAACCAACCATAATAAGGAAGGGAAGATATCAAATATTGTTATTTTAATGAAGTCAGGGGGGGGGGGGGGGGGTGTTTGGCAATTAAAGATAAATGGATGGCTAGGAAAGTGGAAATTATTACACTGAGGTGAAGAAGCAGCTTTTTGCAAAGGTGTTCTCTTTTTTGATGGCCGGGGTGGTAAGTCACCCTCGTCTCGACACATTGGTCAACTCCAAAACTTGTCTCTCTAAGCAAAGTTCCTTTTACAGGTAAGAAAAGAAGGGGTAAAGGAACAAGAAAGAAAGGCATAACAGAATATATATATGGTGAAGATTGGTATTCTTCAGAAATATATATATAGTATACTGACCTAATCGTTAGTATTTTGATGAGCTTCAATGAATCTCAATGGTTAATTATTATTTTCAATTAAATCAAACTTTAGATTTGAGTTTAAAAATTGGAGCATGAAGTTTATCCATTAAAGTTTAGGATATAAGATCATACCTCAAACTCGGTTTTAATCATGATATAGATATATAACTAAATTTACCTGCAGTATCGTATACTTCAGGAATAAACTAGTCTGATCCATATATATATATAAAATAAAGTAAAGAAGTTTGATTTTAGCAGATATTCTTTCTTGGGTAAGACTTGTTTTGACCCTACGGTCTGCGTGCAACCCCCATGTTAAAAAAATAAAACGAATTGACAACAACTACATTAATGGAGATGCCTCTTGGTAATGGGAAGGGTTTGTTGATTGTTCTCTATAGCACCACACTCTAGATATTTTACAAACAATAATTTTAGCAAAAAAAAAAAAAATTTGAATGAGAGGGAACTTATTTGAACTGAGATAATGGGGAGGGAATTAAAATTTATAAATTACTTTATTTTCTGATTTGTCACAAATTCTATTGGTAATTTTATTTATTTTAAGTGCGACCTTCAACCTAGTTCTGTTATTACTGATTCCAGAAATAATTATATTTCCAAATTAACCAAATGATATTCTTGTTATTTCCACCTGGGATGACACGCTTCATCTTTCATATAAGAAAAATGCCTTTGAATATTTTATACAATCGTGAAAAGTCGATACTCTTCCATTGTAGAGTTAGCTAGTGACGAAATTCTTTAACATATCTTTTGGTATAAATGAATTCCATAAGTTTTAAGAAATTTATTTTGAAATAATTTTTTTGTTTCGAATTTAAAATAATTCATTTGCAACTCTAAATTTGAATTCTACGGAATTAGAACTAGTTATAGCATTTCCGAGGAATTGAGATGGAATTTGCAAATAAATTCCACAAGTATTTACTAATTATAATAAAATGACATGATTATCCTTATTTATTAACGAAATTACTTCTACATATATTATTTGGCGCCAATTGATGCAGTATGAGAAACGTCACCAAGAATTTGATTGCAATGCTAGCATATGCTAGTTATTTTATATTTTTGCTTCGATTGTATCAATACTTTGAGAAGACACAACTAGATTGTAGGGTTCATCGATGAAATATTAGAAAAGAACTAATTAATAGAATAGAAACACAAAAGAACACTTTTGATACTCTACGTATGGGACCAAAGACGTTTTATAGAAGATGAATTTTCAATGAATATTGTTTTTTTCAAAAAGTAATAAGGGTATAGTTGGAGAAAATTTTAATTGAATTCAATTCTAAACATATACCAAACATTCAATTAATTTATTTCTAAAGATTGAATATACTATCATGCTAGCAGAGTGATTTAGGAGTAGTTACTTAAGTCATTTATATGTGTTATTTAGTATTAAATGACTTGTTTGCTACAGAAAAAGTATGAGTATTTTCCTTCATACCAACGTCTCAAATAATTCTATTGACTAATTTCCAAATGACTTATTATTTAACCAAAAATTGCTAACTATATCCTTCGCTCTTTTTTGAAACCTCACGTCTATCCTTCTCTTCTTATTAATTCTTTTTCATATAATTGCTTCATCTCCTACCGGAACTAATTTTTTCTTTTCCTCAAATTTCACAAGCGACAAAGAGAATCATCCATCTTGTCGTCTACATCAAGTTCTCTTCACTCCAATTTTTGAGTCACCGGAGCCGCGGCCTTCAAGAACGAGTCACAACTCTACCCAAGCATTAGAGCTCTCTTCTGCGTCGTTAGCAACTGACGCACACAAACCCATAGGGATGATTCTTTGTAATTAACTTGAAATTGAGACTTCTAAAGTCGTTAACATAAAATATTAACATAAAATATCATTTAAAATTACAAAGTAGTATTATACATTACTGGTATCCAAATAATATATTTTGTTGTTTGTAAAATAATTTTGTATATGTGGATACAAATGTCTCTTTAATAATAATTCATAAACAAACAATACATTTACGAATACGGTATTCTCAAAAAAAAAAATTTTGCTTTTCATATTCTCAAATATTTCTATTTCAACAAATGACTCAATTTATAAACGAGTCATATAAACGATCCTTGTGTTTCGGTCCTAATAACAAAGACCATTCTCCCCTTCTCATATACTCGCAGATGCATGTTAATAAGAAGATTCATGTATATACGAAACTCAATTAGGGTTTGTTGGGCTTATGACTCGGGTATGATCGCGCGAAGAAGGAGACGAGGCCCGCGCGAAACCAACATCCCCAAGCACGCCCAAGCCCCTGCGCGCTGTCAAATACGTCAAGCGCAAATGACGACGTCTCAAAGTAGAGAGTCAACCAGACCAAGAAACCAGGGGTAAGGCGATCCTGCGGTTCCCGAGGAGCAGTCACATCACAGTCCTAGATAAAGTCCCCCATGCCCTAGGCAGCAACCTATATCCTCTAGCATGTCAGAGGTCATGTCACCTTACCCCCATGTAACCCACCCACCACCATTTAGTCTATAAATAGGGCATTTACTACGGTGGGTGGGGGGATCGCATTTTCTAGACTCTATCTCTACAGTCATCAACTTCTCTCTCTAAGACTCTGTTCTCCCAACCTTGTTCTTCCCTACCTTCTTTCCTCATTCTGTAATCGATTCCTATTGCTTACTCT